ATGGCACAGCCTGACACGGGCTGGCGGGGAGACGTGGTGGGTGTGGAGATGCACAAATGAGCCCTGGCAGGGGGAACAGTGCATTTATTGTAATCTGAGGCTGCTCTGGCAGCGTGTGCTGCAGAAGCCTGTCTATTAAGTCAGACTTGTTTCCTCGTAACTGCTTCATTCTCTTCCTTTCTTGTTCCCCTGCCTAATGTCTGGGCGCCCTCCTGAACAATGCCAGAGCCTGTAGATGTGCCGTCATTTGGATTTTACTTATTTTATTTTATTATATTTTTTCCCTGTAGTTGGTGGGTAGGCGTGGATGCATCCCTTCTCTCCCCTGCGGGCGTGGGGATGTCTGGCAGCCGGGTCAGGGCAGGCCCTGAGGCAGCGCCTGATCCCCTGAATGAACGCCTTGTTACTGCTCCAGCCATTACGGACCTCATAATTTTGTGTACTAACAGAATTAGCACTGAGCAGCCCTTCACATCTGCCACAGAATGACCATTTGTGTCCGTGGGCAGGCATATTTTCTGAGTTCATGTTAACAGTTTGTTCAGTAATTGTCAAGTACTGCAGTGTCCCCCCACGCTGCCTGTGCCTGTCGCCCTTTGCTTTCTCTTGTCCGATGCGCAGGGAGAGGCAGGCCAGCATCAGCATTGGCTGGCACTCCCCCACTCTAGTGAGAACGAAAGCACGTTGGGGAGGTTTAAAAGGTATGGGCAAGACAAAAAACATGGAGGCCCAGTCGTGTTACTGGATCTGGGCAGGTAGGCTCTTTCTTTTCTCATCATGTAGGCTAGGTAAAGCTAAGGAGGGTCCGCCAGGGCATAGGGGACTGGTAATGTGGGAGAACCTCTATGTACAGTTGACTGAAATATGAAGCAAGAATCTTCTTCCTTGGGTTTTTAACCATGGCCCTGATTCTTCCATAGCTGACGCCTGATACTATTGCTTGGTAGTTTCTGTCTATGTTTCTTGTACTGTTGCTTAAAATACTCACCAGTTGCATCCACAGGAGCCATGGCTCAACTGCTTGCCCCTGTGACTGACAGGCTTTAAGTAACTGGCTGTGGTCACACTTCATTCTTTTAGGGGTTTCTGAACTTAAAATCACAGAATTGTTAGTGAGATGACAATTGGATAGAGAGAAAAGGAAGGACAAGTGTCCTGTGCTGGGGGAGGAGGAGAATCAATGGCTTGTCAACAGCATTGCTTTGTGCTTGGGGTCCTCAGCCCCAAAGCCGAGCATCGCCTGGCGTGCGCCTCTCGGGGAGAGACATGGCGCAGGCTGAGAGCTGGCCCGAAGACCTGGGTCTGGTGGGCCAGCGTGCACCCGACTGTCCTTCTGCCTCGGCCCTACCTGAGGAAAAGAGCTGCAAGCAAGAGGTGGTAATGGTCCCCAGGTCACTAGTCACGGCCAGTATCTTCGTGTGCTGAGTGGCGTCTGTTAGAGCTAGCTGTTTAAAGGAGCTGGGCAGGGAGGTCTGTGACCAGCAGCATGCACCTGCTTCCAGACCCACCCTTGGACACCAAAGTTCTGCTGGAGCTCTGCGACGATGCTGTAGCTTAGGTCAGGGGAGAAGGGGAGCTGACCCTGGATCTGCTTGTCGGGGAGGACGGTCGGTGGGACGGAACAGGGGAACAACTCAGCCATGCGCTTTTCCTGGTCGGAGCTGAGGCTCCTGGTCAGCACTAAGCCGCACTGAGCGGGAAGGGTAAGTCCCTGTTGCTGGGACCCGGGCTGCTGGTCATCCATCGATCGATGGGTACAGCCGTGGGAAGGCGCTTGCCTGGGAGGCGAGGAGGGGTGGTGGCTCTTCCCCCTGCGCCAGCGCTGCGCTGCAGCCAGGGTTGAGAGCGACGTGCGTTCTGATCCTTTCCCCACCCAGTTTCTTTGTCTCACTGTGTGTGGATGAGGTTGCTGTAAAAATGCACGTGAATCTCGGGGCTTTGGCTGCTGCAAGCTGCAGGGACGTGGGGGATTCTCTTGCATGCTTCTGTTGCCAGGGAGGAAGCTGCAAATTACCACCACTGTGGTGATGCTTCCAGAAATCACCCCAGGGGTGGCGGATGAAGAACAGCCCCGGTTCCCTGTGAAGGAATTAATTGTGCCAGAGCTTCACAGAGTGAGGCTGGCACGTGAGCCCTGCCGAAGGCACCGGTCAGCCGTAGCGCAGGCTTGGATTGTGGAAGGGGTGTCGGGGCGGTGGGCGCCAGCAAGGAGCAGAGAGGACAGTAAGGGGAGCGTGGGAGCTGGAGGGTTGTTGGGGACATTTTAACAGTCAGGAAGACTGCGTGTTCTCTGGGACAGCTCAGTTAGCTTATGTCTCCCAAATACGTGGTAGCTATGTGTGAGATCAGGCTGTTTGCCCCTGTGCTGACTGCAGCTGGTGTTTGGACTTGTGCAGGTGGAGGCAGAAGAGCAGGACCTCAGCCTTCCCAGTTCCTCAGGACAGTGTCCGTTCTCTCCCACCACTGTATGCTGGGTTGCCCAGCTCCAAAAGCAGGAGCACGAGAACCGTTCAGGTGTGGGTGCTCCTGCACTGTCCGTCTGCACTCCTTTGGAGAAGGCTGCTGGCCACTTAGGTCAGTAGAAAGGAGAACAGAGGAGGTGGTAAATGATGAGATGGGAACGCAGTTCAGTGCCTCCCGGGTCTTGTGTAGACCTGTGATGTGAAATGCCTCAGAAGGACTACCCTGAGCATGGTAGAGGAGGGACAGATTCCAACAGCAGATGCATCGTCTTCAGGGCTGGCTGTTCTGTTGGTGGTGTTTGCAAGGTGGTAACGGATGAGAGAGAGAGAAATTGTCATCTTTAATGCAACTTATTTTGCATTGTATTTGGGTAAGATTTAAGATCATGCCCTTAGTAACAAACTTGCTGTAAATACTGGTGTGTGGCTTGTGCTGCCTGCAGATTTATATGCATAATGACCTCATGTAGGAAGCTTTTGACCTCTCTCTGTATATTTTATGGAAGCATATTTGCTGTATCCCCAGTTACTCTCCTTGGTGCTCATTCTGCCTCAGTGATGTTTCTGGCAGCACCTGTTCCATTCAGAAACAGGCCGACGAGTATGGTTTTTTCAGTCCTCGCTCTTGTCCTGTTGTTTCAAGTGTCGGTACAGATGTGAACTTTCTGCAGTATCGGCTGTTGGGGTGGGCTGTCTGATGCAGTAGGAGAGCACCCAAGAAGGGCACTCTGGTGGTATACACTCCGGGTGTATTGCCTGCTACTGACAAGTGATGTGTTCTTCCCTTCACAGAGTGATCGTCTCCTTATTAAAGGAGGGAGAATAGTCAACGATGACCAGTCATTCTATGCCGACATTTACATGGAGGATGGCCTCATAAAGTAAGTATGGGACTTCCATTATCTTCGTGTCCCCTTAAATAAGCTTCAGGTTGGATGGTTATTGACTTTTTGTGGATGCGGTCTGTACCCAACTTGCCAGCCAGTAAAACTTGATAGCCCACTCTGGTTAGAGGCTCAGCTCTCTGCAGTGAGTGTGAGCACGTATGTGATTGCCTGACGTGTTTACATTGTAACTCCAGTGACTGAATTGGAGTCGGGCTGGTGACTTCATGATACAGCATCCATTGTACGACAAAGCTGTATCTAATTGCACCAGGAACAAGATTTATCTTTGACTCCTCTTTTGCCCTATGTGAACAGTATTGACATGAATGACCCCACACAAGATGCCATTTGTGAGCACTAGCAAGGACAGTGCTCTGCTGCAGGTCATCTGCATCCTTGAGATTTTCAGGAATTGCAGGCAGACCTCTGAGTCCCTCCAGCTTCTTTGTGTGTGTTTCAGAGGTGCGGTAATAACTCCATTGTTTAAAGGCTGCAGTTCAAATGTGGCGATTGTATTGCGTTGGGACCAGCTTCAAAGTGGGTGAATTGAAAGAACCATGGTAGTTTGTAGCAGAGAGACTTGAAAATGCATTACTTGCTCTATGGTTAGAAGAAAATATCCAGCCTTCCCAGGATGGTATATTTTAAAAATCCAGCAAGAGAGAAATACTTCAAGAAATGGGACTTTGTTTTTATGAGGCTGATTTTAGCTGATGGACAAGAGTATTCATGATTGACTAGTACTTGTACCTAGGCAGGGATCAGAGCCAGCTTCAGGTCTTGCTATGGCACAGACTTTCTGGGTATCCTTGGGCAAATCACATAGCTTCATCTGCAGCCTGGAGGTCGCAGAATTTCATTACCTTGGAAGTGAAATGCTTTTGCAGGTGAATTCTGGTAAGAATACAGTGAGCAGTTTAAATCAATAATAAGCAGTGGAAAGAGCTGCTGATGTATTGCTGTGAGGACACTGGAGCGAGCAGTTCTGTCCACAGAACTTTTGTTACTTGTTTGTCCACAGTACTGTGGTTATTTGTTATTCTAAGGAAAAAAACCTGCAAAGTGACTAAGGTTGAATAAAAGGCAAAAATGGAATTTGCTAGTCATTTACCTCCCCAGTATGCCAAGGAAATCAGAAGTTTTCCGCTAAAACCAACTTGTCTTTTGTCTTGATTTATCAGGGAAGACTGAGGAAGGCTTGATGAAAATAGGATTTCTGAAAGAAGAGATTTGAAGGCTGAGTGCTACATATGGACAGATAAAGGGATTGAGGGGGTGGGGGGCCGAGTGAAGGCAGTCCTAAGGTTCAGGTGGCCTGTCCTGCAGGAGGGTTGGGTATGTCTAGGGAGGAGACTGTCGTGTGCTAGAACAGTACAAACTCCAGACGACTATAATGGTATTTTAGGTTACAAGCAGATGTGTGCTGGAACTTTTTAGGTTTTCTGTTTTCAGAAGATATTTTTAGGTACTTGGGATTTTAGCTGCCTTCGCTGCAGTGTGATCCTGCTGATAGCGAAGATGTCCTTCAGGGGCATGAAGGAAACAACGTGAGAGGGGAGGTCCTGGGGAGGGGAGGACTCTGTCTGCACTCCTTGGCAGGAGAGTGAGCCCGGTGTTTCCAGGCTATGCTGTGAGCCCAGCCAGGCTGCAGCCAGCCTGTGCACTTTGTGAGCTCCTCCCCAGAGGGATGCTTCCCTTTACGCTTGGGACTTTGTGCTGTGAGCAGCATTACAAGTCCCTGATGAGCCCTGAGCTGGCCTAGCAGCTGTGGCATTACAGTGGGAAATCATCTTTCTGTGTAAGTAAGCCTCAGACTTGAGCCTTACTTAAGGTAGGCAGAAGGATGGGGGAGAGGAGAGATTAGGGGTGCAGCTTACTGGAAGCAGGGCTGGTGTCGGGTTTTGTAAGCATGCACCGTGAGTGAACAGGTAGGACTGCTATGCTGGAAACACTTGCAGGAGCCTGACTCGTGAGTCTGTGGGGTATGAAGTGTCCTAGGCAGCTTCTCACCATAAACTGCAGAGGTCTGCATGCCCATCAGACGATACTCGCCAGCTCCCCCAACCCAGTGCCTGCCCCAGACAGCAGGTGCCATCATAGACACCAGTGGAGCAGTTGGACAGATGGCAGCCACCCCTGGACTATGCAAATCGTAGGTTTAAGCAAGACAGACAAGCCTGCATTTTGCTGCAGAGTGAGGTGGTTTCACTCTGCTGGCTCCTGCAAGCCCAGGTCTGGGAGTGGGAAGGAGTGGGGCTTTCTGCTGGTGGCGGGGGGGGGGTGACCTGACTGCTCCCTAGCTGAGCTGTTTGTTGATTATGTTGTGGCTGGTTTTCATTTGTGTGTGGCTCACCATCTTGGTGTGATCTCACCAGGCAGATTGGAGACAATCTGATTGTCCCTGGAGGGGTCAAAACCATAGAAGCCAATGGGAAGATGGTGATCCCTGGAGGAATTGATGTCCACACTCGCCTGCAGATGCCGTACAAGGGGATGACAGCTGTGGATGATTTCTTCCAAGGAACGAAAGCGGCCCTAGCTGGTGGAACCACCATGATCAGTGAGTGTAGCAGCCAGGCCCTGTACATGACAGCAGCCAGCACTCTTGGAACATTGCCCAGTTATTTATTTTTCTCTTTGCTTATCTTAGTCTTCTTTGCTTTGAAGGTCCATGACAGTGTGCTCATCTTTTCTGTAATCTCTGTCAATGCAGTCTAGAGAGTGAGGATTGGGATGAATCTTTGGGATCCTTAGTAATAATGAAGTGATGGGACAGGAGATTTGCATAGGACCCCTTGCCCTTACAGATCCTGTGTTCTGCAGTGCTTCGTTGTCTGCTGCCACTGGTGCCCCTGGGACCCTCAGAAAGGAACAATGGCATAACTTTTTTTCCCTGTTAAATAAAAATAGGACATCACGGTGCTCAGATGACTCTGAGCAGGGGAACAGAGCAATGTCTTGGCATCCCTCACTGCTCAGAAATAAACAATGCTAATGAGAAAGGAAAGGGAATTCTGAGGTCCTTCCCTGGAGAAGGCCACAGTTGTGCACTGGTTTGAGGTCCAGGCTTTACTGCTGTGTGATGGTCACAGCTGTGCATGCTGCAGGGTTTCTTGGGATGCAGGAGCAGCTGTTGATCCTTCCAGTAAAAGGACTGGGCTTCTTGTCCTCCCTCGCTTGTTCTCCTTCCTCCTGGGCCAAGAAAATAAGTTGTGTGAAATGGACTGTGGCAGGGCATGGGGATACATGGTGGGCAATAAAAGGTGCATTAGTATTGCAGCATGGGAGGAGGCAATGTGTTAATGGGGTGGAAGTGGGGGTGAGGAAGGACAAGGCCCTTCATCTTTCAGGTGATTTCTCAGCAGAAGCCTGTAAAAGCCCCTGGTCCTGTTCCAAAGACTGTTAAGCACAGGCTCTGCGTGCTTCCCTGCCAATAAATGCACTTGGAAGAGCCCAGGCACATTGCGGAGGTGATGGGGACCTCTTCAGAGCTGCCCTGAAGCTGCTGAGGAGATGAGCCTGGGATCGTGGAGATGCCCGGCAGTTTGCAGGGCCATGTTGGGGGAGCCTGGGTGGGGAGCCCTTGCCCACCCTGTGCCCCTGCTGTGCCTCTGCAGTGGACCATGTGGTGCCGGACCCCGAGTCCAGCCTGGTGGAGGCATTGGAGCGGTGGCGGGAGTGGGCTGACGGGAAGGCCTGCTGCGACTATGCGCTGCATGTGGACATCCCCCGCTGGAGCGACCGCGTCCGGCAGGAGCTGCACACCATGG